GCATTTTTTATGATTTTATAAAAATAGAGTTCAATAAATATTGGGATTGTATTAGATTGGAATAAATATTTTTTGAGTCCAATTTTTTACAAAATTTACTAATTAATTCATTTTCTTATTTTCAGGATTATATCTATACATGTTGGTCGTGGAGACTTTCACGAGAGAAAATATCAAATTGCGAGTTTATTTGCTCCTCGGCTGGGTAAGTGAATTGTATACCATTTATTAAAGATTTATGCTATAAAATAAAAGTAGAAAGGCTGAAAGAATTTTGAGGGAGAATACACATGTAGAATTCATACATTTTAAAGAGATTTTTTGCAGACTTGATTACTGTCTTACGGGGACGTTTTTTGGATAAAAGCCTATGCTTTGGTTTTTAACTTTATTTTGAGAAAATGGAAAGTTTTTTAAATAAAATGATTTTTGGGAATATTATTATTATTTTTGGTCAAGAGAACAAATTATTATTTATTTATTCATAAGCAAGCCGTAATCAATTATAATGATATTAATTCAGGCTCTTGTAAAGAAATTGATTCTAGGTTGCTTATGATTAAATAAATATATATTGGTTTTAATTAAATTTATTCAAAGTTATATTGTAAAGAAATCTTATATTATTTATAATAAATGTTTAGTTCTTAGATCTATTTTAAATAAATTCGGAGTTCAATTTAAGTTCAATTTTCCCATTTATTTGAAACCAATGCATACTTTTTCTCACATAGACTGATTTAATTTTTTGGGCATTTTAAATTTTCATATTTTGATGACATGTTTTTTTTAACTTGTTTTTATTTGTTTACCACAATCATATTTAATTCAAATTGTAGTTATCATCACTAGTTATCATTACTTTATTTGATGAATTTATTTTTATGTAGAATTATTTATTGTGTATGGAAATTTGTTAGGACCTATACTCCGATCAATTACGTTTTTTATTAGATTTTAGGATAGCTTTCATCGTGATTTTAAATTACACTTTGGTCAAATAATATTTTATTAATAGTTTATCAATGAACTAATATTGATAATAAAAAAAAGAATAAATATTTTATTATTTTTTTACAGCTGCACCAGCATTATTCATATTGGCTTGGGCTATTGTCCGAAGTACAGTTCCACCTTCTCCTACAGATGAATCCATGTCCCTGATAATTGGAGTAAGTTAATCATTTTTTATATTATGTATTTATGAAATTGTATACTTTTTGCGTATACTTGACCAAAATCAACCATATCAGTGTGAAATTTAAGCACAAAAATTGTACATTTTTAACTTTCCATGTTGCGGTTTCAAACAAAATGGAGATTGTTCTGATAATTGTACTACGTGCAATGCATTTATGTTTTATCAAACCGAACAAGAGAAAAAATGTTTTTTCTAATTTTTTCCCTGTTGTTTTTATAAACATATATTTCCATGCTTTTTTTATCTTTTTCATGAATTATTGAAACGTTTCGTCCGTTTGAATCAATAATGCTCAGCTCGCGTAAAAATCAGAACACACATGAGAATAAAAAATCAGAAATAATAAACTTTTGTGGTTTATTTTAACATTATGTTATGATATTTTAGATACGTATTTTTTTAACCTTGTTGGTTATTTTTGGGTTTCAGATGGATAATAAAATCATATTTGTATCTTTTAGAATATTTAAAATATTACATATATGTATAATTCTATTATTGTTATAATTTGTTACTATCAAGATTTCCTATTAAAAACGTTGTTTAGCTAGTCAGAAGTTAAAGACAAATAATCTATTATAAAAAATTATTATTTCTTGTAATTTCTTTTGTGATGTCTTTATGTTGCTATTACTATTTTTACGTAATTTTCATATTGATTAAGTCAATTAATTTTTTCAGGCAAAATGCTACTAACACCTAGTTAACCTTTCCTAGGAAAAGATATAGCAATACATTTAAATATATATTTACCTACTAGTTTTTTGTATTCAATGCTTTTTCACTTTATTAACTTCCCGAAGGAGAAGTTTGTTCTCATCAAAAAATCTGATTTGCTAATTTTATGTTTTCTGGACGTTTCAAGCCATTCTGAATCTAATGTGATCGAATTTGGAAAAAGTATGTGCGTGTGTGTGAACAATTTTTTTTGCCGTAAATCGACGTTTTCCTAAAAACGGCTGGACCAATTTCAAAAATTTAAAAACCATTCGATGTATCTCGATGAGGATTATTTTTTGTCAGTTTTGTGCGACAATTGGCCAAGCCGTTTCCTTATAAATACATAGCAGAAAAGTGAAAATTTTTTCGTCTACGTCTTAGCCCGAAATTCTAAATCGATTTTAAAAATTCAAAAACCGTTTGAAAGATATTGGCTGGGAATCGCGCTGATTAGTTTTTGGTAAAGATCGGCAGGGCCGTTTTCTTGTAATAAAGCTTTTTTAAAAAAAAATCGACGATTTTTATTATTATTTTTTGGATGCTAGATACCATAGTCTTCTAGATCATACTAGAATATTACGGTTCTACGACAGGTCGTTTATTTTAAAAAATCGTCAAAGTTTACAAAAATTAGTGTCGTTTTTCTGGCGCTTGTCAAAATTATAACTTTCATCGACGTTTGCTCAAAAACGCCTAAAACGATTTCAAAAATTTAAAAGCCAATCGACGTATATTGATGTGGATAATTCTTTCTCAGTTTTGTGAGACGATCTACCAAGCCGTTTCTTCGTAATTTTAAAAAAGGTGTTAAATTTTTTCTCCACATTTAAGCTCATTCTACCGAACCGATTTTAAAAAAATCAAAAACTGTTCGAAAGATATTAGTTGGAAATAATACTAATTAGTTTTAGGTGAAAATCTATCGAGCCGTTTTCTTATAATTAACTGTTGAAAAAAAAAATTAGCCGATTTTTGTGGAACTTTTTTGGCGATATATTTTATGGTCTTATAAAACTTACTGAAATATTACGACCTTACGACAAGTTGTTCAATTTTAAAAATTCATCAAAGTTTGAGAAAATTAAAATTAGACGATTTACTTGGTATAAGGCTAGAGTACACGGTCTCAATGCACATACTAAACCATTGAAGTCCTACCAAACTGGTTCAATTATAAAAATTGATTTTTGAAAATTTGCTGCTAGAAAATATTCCGAGTTAACGCGTTCGTTGGTTTTCAATTATGTGTAATATATCCAGTCGGAATACTTTTAATCATCAATAAATTAATTTAGTTTTTATTGATTAAGTCGATTATTTACACATATCGGGAAGTTCATGTAACTTGCCTCAAGGCTAAATACCAATTCCAACTAATTCTATATATAATCCTGATTTGTTGACTTTGCTGAATAATTTTTGCTTGTTCATATAAACATCCTTATTTATTTTAATGTATTTAAAATCTATCTTATGTAGGCGTATTACATTACATATTTCATTACAAAATCTTGAGAACCATACCAGACTATGTCTCATGAGATAGCTTTTATATCATGATATCATAACACTCAAAACAATTTCCTAAAAATGATTCTTTACATAAGCAAAGTACATCAAGCAAAACAACTCAACTTCTGCAACGATTCCATTATAGTAAAAAATTATGTCGTCACAGACATAATACCAGAAAATGTTGATTCAGCAAGCGGGGGAAGAAAATTACAAAAGCACAATGTAAAGGAGACATTTTTCCGTCCTCTAAATCCATTTTCCTACATTTTCAGAGCAATGTGAAAATATCAGAAGGTTGAAGCATTGTGTGGCAGAGGACTACTTCTTTGGGTTTAATTAAAAAAAGGACATGTGGTGCGGTTGTAATTTGGATTTACTTATTCTGTGGCGTTGGATCTAATTCGCGATGAGGTAGCTTAAGTGAAAAACAAGCATTAAGGGAATTCATAAATAGTTTATGCATTAATTTATTATATTCAGGGT